ACGCAAGCACTCTCCACCAACACGTCTTAAGAGATATTATCTGTTCAAGCGCAAAGTACCTTTCTAAAGGAGAATGATATTTACGACGCCTTTTATTATGCGAAAGGCGCAAACACTCGTACCGGACGTGCTGAGGCGTGTAAGTTCCGCGGGGAGGTTGATTAAAAAGGATATCAAGTATGAGTCGCCAGGAACGGGAGTAGCGTGCCGCCGTTTCGCCGATCTCGATGGCTTTCTTCCAGTTCTTTGCGTAGCCACCAAAAATAACTATTGCTGTGAATAATAAGAAGAAGGGTTTACTGGATGTGCCATTTTTATAAAAAGGATAAACGACAGGCAATATACTGGATGCGCCCTTTTGATAAAAAGGGTGAAAAGACAGTCAATATAGCATACAAACAGATAGCAGTTCATGTTTTCTCACTTACCGAACAAATGAAATTCCACTTGAAGAAAGCCTTTACATTTAAAGTGCAGTCAAATTTCAATGTTACTGTCTGTTAATTTCTGTAAAAGTATGTATCTTCAAGTGTTAGAGTTCTTCTCCTTTTGTGTTCTTTCTGTAGAAAGTAATCACTTACACAGCAAATTATCATCGGATTTTTAAAACACCAGTTACCTCCTATAATATTTTTCTTTGAATCATTTAGTAGTAAGGTTTAAGGTTTTACTCCCCATTTACTAAACTCAAGGGAGAAGAAGAATAATAAGTTGCATTATGCGAACTATTGTCCTGTTCAGATTATAAAATTCATCTGCGTGAAGACATCATACGTCCAGACGCAGATGAACTCGACTTCTAAGCGCACAACGTAGGATGTGACAACTGAGGTCCAAAAAATGGCCACGCAGTTATCCGGCTGAACCACTTTCCTTTCTCCCTATGTCAACGAGAGCATTTAGATCAAATAGCTGTCTGTATCAGTAGTTTTGCTAAGCTTAGATCACAGTTTCTGAGAATAAATGAGTGAAATAAAGCAGGTTCTGACCACATTCGAACCGTAAAATACTGCAGATAAACAGATACTCAGGAGTTTTGGTGCAAGAGCCGGAACTACAAAGCTAGGCATTACCTATCGATATTAATTAAAAGCAAATTGAACGGAATATTTTGTAGGCTTCTTTAGATATGCTCTCCAAATGGTTAGTAAAGAAAAAACTTAAAGTAAAATTAGTTCTACGCCAGTTTGCTTGAATTAGATGAGGTGAAGTCGTTCAAATTAGGTTTAGTTATGGCTTAACATCCATAGGTGTACAGTGGAGTGTGACAATGAACATATGAAATACTACCAAGTTAGTGATGTTTGAAAGGCAACTTGCGAAATCTCAATTATTTGCTCTAATTGCTATGCTATTATCCTAACTTAGACTTTGTGTTTTGCCAAACAGAATTGTCTCAAGCTGTGATGTCATGTTTTTTTAATAAAAAAAATGTGTTCACATAGAAATCGTCAAGTATTGAAGCAGTGGCTTTCTTTGAAAGTTGCTTTCATTAACCATGTAGCATAAAGTCAAGGTACACAAATATTTCGGCGATTCAGGCCAATCCCCTAAAACAAAGGTGTATGTGAATATTCCCACTTAAAGGGGATTATCTTACCCAACCAAAGTATTTGTTTTTGCAATGCTTAGGCTGGATATCAACCGCCAATGCAATTAACGTTAGGCTTCACACGTTCAATATTTTCTAATGTTGTCACCTACATGAAAAGGTTTATCGTGCTAATAATCGCTATTCATCCACAGGACTATCCCGGAAGCTCTGTGTTTTTTAACCCTCCCTGATATGCAGTAATAGTGGAATCTTATTTACATGATTTATGAATTATTTATGCCTGCAGATTCAGTATGCAATGTGTTTTTCCTTTTGCAACATTATACAGGGTGTCCCAAAAAATGTATAAACCTTTTATTTAATTTTAAACTTCGTGTTTATTATAATTTTATTATTTAAAAAACGTAAAAATGTTTGCAAGTATCGGTCTGTTGTTTTTTTCCACTGCATTTTAACTCTTGCAATACTGGCTGAATAGAGAGAAGCCATTACACATGGATGCAATATAATACCAAGGCAATTGTTTCGTGGTGTGTGGGATTCCATTGCTTCGTATTGTCAGCAGTGTCATGATCAAAAGGGACGTCAGTTTGAGAACATTCCGTGAAAAACAATAAATTGACACTTGTAAATATTTTTGCATTTTTTACTAACAGACTTATGACAAACGCTAATTCTGCAATTATGTAAAACGTGTATACATTTTTGAAACACCCTGTATTTATCCGTCAAATACTTCCTGGTTGATTGTTCAGACAGAACCTTTGTTGATGGTTACTCAGCCGACGGATTGTATTTCATTGGATTACTCGCATTCCTATATACGGTCTACTAAAGTCTGTTGTACATGTTTCTTTACTCCCTAAACGTTGCGTTATTCGAACTTTTATCCTATTCAGATGACAAAATCAATGAACCATAAGTCCAGCTGAGATGAAATCGACTCCGAAGTGCACAACATAGTATGCGAAAACGTTTGTCCGGAAAATGGCCACGAAGTTGACCATCCAAACCAATTTTCTTTCTCCTTATCTCACTGAGTAAATTAAGTCCAGATAGCTGGCTAAACTAGTTGTTTTACTCAATTTAAACCAGACTTCCTAAGGATTTAACGTTGATATAACGCAGTATTCGCCCACTAGAACCGAAAAACACCAGAACGTAACAGACTCTGCGGAGCTTAGGTGAAAGAGCCAGAACTACGAAAGTAGGTGTCATCGGCCGCATTGATTAAAAGCAACTTTAAAGAAATTTTTTGTAGGTTTCTTAAGATATGTTCTCCGAGTGGTTAGTAAAGACATCCAGTATTAATAGCGTCCTGTTGACATTACTTATGAATTATTTATATCAGCAGGCCCAGTAAGCGATGCATTTTTCTTTCAAAAACTTTGTATTTATCCCTGGTTGATTGTTCAGGCACATGCCGGATTATATTTAGAGATGCAAATCTTTCCTTGGGTTATCTGCATTCCTCGACATGGTTTCTTACTTTTACCTCTTTGATAAGAAGAGTACTTACCCAGAAATAAGATGTAAAGGAAGATGGAAGTCAGGCCGACAGTCAAACCGAGTTGCCAGCCAAACAGGAGGCTCAGAATGTAACTCAGAAGCAAGGCAATAATCGGAGGTAGAAATGCGGAGGTCAAATCGAAGGCACCCGCCCTCTCTTCCAGACTCGGCTCATCTCGCCTTTGCAGCTCCTTTAGGTAAGCTATTGGAAGAGGGGGTACAATCAGACAAGAAGTGAGCGTCTCCAAATAGCATTTCCGTATTTTATCAAATTTTTAGAGGGGTTTGACAGATTTGCTTAATTCAGGTAACCCAACGGTGAAAACTTTGTGGCCTCGGTGCAAGATGAACCCACACAACAGGGGAGGCTTTTGCGCAGCTAACCCTCTATTATTTAACTACGAGGCTTACCGTGCGCCGTGAAGTTAATCACTCTTGGATTGATATTATTCGCCCAACTTACTGCTCGTATGGAATCCACCATTACGGATACAGTAAGCTGATTGCCCAGGCAGGATTTCCCAAGCAATCATCTAGGATGCACCGGATGGACTACTCAGCTCAGTAAGTTGTTAGAGGTTGGGCAGATTTCAGTAATTTCAGTTGATCCAGTTGCAAAAACTCGCGGCCTCGGAAGAAGTCGTACTCACACAGCAAGGGAGGCTTTTGCACAGCCAACGCTCTACCATTGAGCTACGAGGGTCACAATGAGCCGTGAGTCAAATCACACACGGAATTGAGCAGATCTGTGAAATCCTCCGAATAATTAAGTGAGCCTAGTAGTCATTCTGATGGGTTCTAGATGATTGCTTAGGACATCCTGCCTGGGCAGCCAGCTTGCTGTATCCGTAATGGTGGATTGCATACCAGCAGTAAGTTGGGCGGATGAAATCAACCCAAGTGTGATTAATTCTACGGCTCACGGTGAGCCTCGTAGCTCAAAGGTAGAGCGTTGGCTGAACAAAAGCCTTCCTTGTTGCATGGGTTCAACCGCCATCGAGGCTGCGAATTTTTCACAATTGGGTCAACTGAATTTTATCCAAAGTTAAACAACTGCGCCCGGACATATTTAACGATTTTGTTATCTGCACCATACGTGTATGCTTGCCTTTCCTCTTCTACGCATTGATCAGACGTAGGACTGGTTAAATGACTGTCGAATAAGCCAAAAACAGCGCTATCCTCCCGTCCCCATATCTCCGATGACATTTTTGGCTGTCATATCTTAGCCTGGTAATTTTTCATCGCATCGAAACGCCTTCCACCCACGTGGGGTTGCGTTGCTTTTTACATCGCTTTGAACACATTTATGTATAAATAGAAGGAGCGTCTCGCCTGCCGTCAAAAACCCTGGTTCAGGCCTATTCGTTCCTTTCCAGCTAAATAACTCCCACAGCCGAAAGTAAACACCTGCGCAGGCATTTATCGCAGAGGTGCCTACAGATGCGGTCTGGCTACACAGGCAATAACAGCACTGAATGCGAAATTTAATCAGAAATTCCTCCTCTGATTAGACGTTTTCTCACAGCAATGTGCGCATAACGCTTTAGTTTTTGCCGATTTAAAAATCTGTTCGCTGGACGAAGCCAAACAAACTAGTTCAGAAGAAGAAGATGGTACCACTGGAACAAGAGTTTTATTTCCCTGACGTTTCGGATTCTGTCGGGAACTCTTGATCATATGTTATGGTAGGATAGTCTGAGACATGCGCAGATAGAGATGATACATGCACAGATTGCACAGTATTTATAGTCCGCAGCGGGGGCCGAAATACTCGCAAGAGGTGACAACCGCGTGAGCCA